AAAACTTTAAGCAATGAAACTTTTTTTTCTCTGACGAGGAAGTACTGTGACGATTTTCGCCATCTTGCAATTCCAGTATCGAATGTTTCTCAATTATCGAGACCGAGGGACCGGGAGAGCTTTTGGTCGGTGGTCCCTTACAATTGAATTTCACGCCTAAGAGAAAGTAAGGTATTGGCAATGATTGTAACGCCGACCATACTAATAACATACAGAAAGAGAAGGATTAATCTAAAAGCACTTCCTTTAAAAAAATAATAAATTTAGTAGTAGCTCCAGGGAAATTTAGTATCAAACCAGATCAAAAGTTCGCCCGAAAAAATATACGAAACAATTCAAAAATCGAAGGCCGTATCAATACCCCTGTGGTGGCCGAAAACCACAGGAAAACAGACGCAAAATCAATTTAAAAAATTTAAATTTATTGTCTTAACAACTTTTGCAAGTATGGAGCAGGAAATATGAAAGTGCAGAGTCTTAAGACAAAATGAAATAAAAACTGACCTAAGGGAAAGCCATTTTAAAATCCATTAAAAAAATATCAAAAATAAATGAGATGGCTACGAAAATGTCTTACAAAAATGCAATTAAAAGAATATTTTGACAGAACCTTCCAAATACAAGTTAAAAGGGATGTTGGAACTATAAATTCTAAAAAAATAGTAGGTCCTAATTTCAACCTAGCGAAAACTCTAGGTCCCAACTCCTAATAAAATAAAATCAACACTGATGTGGTTGCCAGGACACAAAAGGATTGAAGACAGTCGACAAGCTGACAAACTGACCTGGAGCAACGCCTATATACTTAGAAACTCAAATTCAACCCAGAAAAATCCACCCACATACCTTCACCCTCCGCAAAAGATCCTTCCTCCAGTCTACTTCAATCAAATACCCCTCCCAATTGCGGACAAGGTGCGCTACCTAGACTATACATTGACAAACGTCTGATGTAGAATCCCACACACGACTGAAACGACAAATGAAACGTTACAGAGCACTTTCACGACTTCTTGACAGACGTTCTAACCTACCTCTCTTAAACAAAAGACTACTTTATATCACCCTAGTGAAGCCGATATGGACTTATGGACTGGAAGTGTGGGGTTCAGCCAAACATTCCAATATGAGCCCAATCCATCATCTTCAGAAAAATCCTTCTTAATGCTCCTTTTTATGTGTCCGACGACACTACCCATATAGACCTAAATATTCTTTTTGTCCAAGATGTAATCCACTCGCGTTACCGAAAATTTTCACAAACCTCCCAACCACTATAAATCCTCAAATTCAAATCCTCTTATCCCGACGAATTCCTTCCAACCTCTTAGCCGACTAAAAAGACGATGGCCACGGAATCTTCTATCCAGTGACAATTGAATAAAAAATAGTTAGGAGTACTACCAGTGGGTAGTTTCTCCACTCTTGTTTTCTCAATTACTTATTCATACACTATTACTAGATACCAAAATGAGGGTAGTTGTAATATACAATAAAAAGCAAAAAAAAATATATACTTAGAAGTTTGAACAGGAAATTCCGCAACATCTGAACCTGTAAAACAAAGTTTCTCCAACTCTCTCAGCAGGAAAAAAATTGTTACCTTTATACTTGCCATTGCCTATGCAATTACTACTTTCAAAATCTGGGTGGAAACTAAGACAGAAACTTGCCGACCCTTGCAAATGAAAACCATGGGAAAACAGACGCAAAATCAATTTAAAATTTATTAATGCATACATGCCCAACATCACCACTAGAAGAGGCACTGTTGCATGTATGAAGCATGAAATTTGAAAGTGTAGTCTTAGGACAAAACGAAATAAATAAAAAGACACATAAAAAGTTTGCCAGGAACCGAGATTTTCTTTATTTTTCTTTATATTTAACACTTTTTAAACTAATTAGCGTGAATTCTATGATTTGTAACAATAAATCCTTTTAGAAAAGGAAAAATTTAGAGTAGTAGAGAAATGGGAGGTCAAGAAATTTGGATCTTCTTGGTGTGTCACGTGGTAGCTGATAAATGTACTGTAGAGGATACATTTCACCTTAATACTTTCCAGGACAAAAGAAGGCCAAATTCCACACTGGAACTTTTAGGTCTCAAAGAAAGAAAAGGAGACTATAGTGACCAGTGACCCTTGAAAAATATAAAAAGGTTCTGCATTTTTCCTCTCAAGATTTTTTTATTAGATTTTATGTATGATTTTCCTTTATGATAATGGTCCGCCTATTCTCGCTTTGTCATTCTTGCTGCACATACTCCATGGTAGAAGGTTTTAGTTTTAATAAATTTAGTGTGTTAGTCGATCGTAAATAATTTGTTTAGAAGACTATTTGATTTTGGGTATTTTAAAGTAATGAGTTATTGGACTTTTTAGTCGTTTTTCATTCGCTATCGGCTTAATATGGTTTTTTGATACAAGTTTTTGGGATCATTGTCTTTTATGATTACCTGGGTCCGCCTATCCTCGCTTTTCTCTTGTTTTAGCTAGTCAAAGGGGAAAAGGTTCAAATTTTAATAAATTTGTTGTGTTAGGTGACTATCAAAAGTAGATGATTTGTTTTGTAAAGAAACGAGCAGGTTTTGATGTTTGTTGATCGATGTGTACAATTAAATATCTGCTTTTTTTTTACCAACAGTGGATTTTTCTACCTTTCCTATGATACTTCTTGTCCTAGTCCTATTTTCGCTTTGCCATGCTTGCGTCAGGTACTCAAACGTATGTAGAAGGTTTTAATTTTAATAAATTTGATCTATTAGGAGACTAAATTAGATTTTTAAGCTTAGATTTTTTTTCCAAACAAATGAACATTTTTTATGCGTTTTAATATGTTATCAATTAAATATCAGTTTTTTGTATACCAAAGGTTTATTGAATGATTATTTACCTTTCCCTATGATTATTCTTATCCTGGACGGCCTATTCTTTGTTTGCCATTCTCTCTTTAGTGTGTTTCAATACGTTATCAATTAAATATCATTTTATTGTATACCAAAGGTTTACTGAATGATTATTTACCTTTTCCTATGATTATTCTTATCCTGAACGGCCTATTCTTTGTTTGCCATTCTTTCTTTAGTGTGTTTCAATATGTTATCAATTAAATATCAGTTTTTTGTGTACCAAAGGTTTATTGAAACAAAAGACCTTGAATTTTTCTCCTTTTCCTATGATTATTCTTATCCTGGACGGCCTATTCTTTGATTGCCATTCTTTCTTTAGGTACTCAAAGGTAGAAGTTTTAATTTTAATAAATTTGGTATATTAGGAGACTAAACAGCTTAGATGATTTGTTTTTTCTAAAGTAATGAGCAGGTTTTATTTGTAGGGATTAGTGACCGTTAATCGATAGTAATTCAGATATCGTGAGATGTCACACCCGACCGCATCTCACGATATCTGAATTAGCAGGTTTTATGTTTTTTTTTTTTGTTTTTTTATATGTCTTCAATTACAAATCAGATGTTCGTTTGCCAAAGGTTTATTGAAACAAAAACCTTAAATTTTTCGCCTTTTCCTGTGATTATTCTTATCCTGATCTGCCTATTCTCGCTTTGGTCTTTTTGCCAGGCATGCCAGTACATAAGACGTGAATGAAAAAGTTCTGTGATTTTTTGGCCAAAGTTGACTTCTGTTTCAAATTCTGATCAAGGGCTTCCTTTGCCCATGTCAGTTAATCAGATCTTGCAATAATCAAAACAATGAAAAAATCATCCTTGTCATAGATCAGAGTTTTTACATAGGTCAATGAGCAAATTCTGCAACTTGATTAGGTAAGTCCCGAGGTCATTAAATCAATTATATACTAACCGCTCTTCTTTAAATTTCCATTCTTTCCTTGATAAATGCAGTGCGAGAATTGGCCAGAAATCTTTGTTTAATGTGTTCTTTTTTTTTTTTTTTTTTTTTTTTTTTTTTTTTTTTNAAAAAACCCCAATTTCCCGTAAAAATCGGAACAGGGGACCCTGAAACCCGCTGCAGTGCTCGAGCACCTTCTTCAGATTGGATGGCATGCCTACGCGCTCCCTGTAGGGATCCAAGGCATGGCATGTTTTCAGTATGTGGGACACATCGAGCAACCTTTCTCTGCATAAGGGACCTGTGTTCTTTTATTAACTGAAATTCACAATCTGGGCATCATGCTGCGTAGAAAGTCAAAAATAAAAAAGAACCTCTCCTCGAATATATAAACCAATCAAAACTGAAAGATTGCGATTTCCCAGATAAGGTCATGACCTGGTGATAATATCAAAAAAGGAATATAATTATTTACTCTCGTTTTTATAAAAACGAAACTTTCTGAAGAAAAAAAAAATCGAGGTTGTTACGATATCAAATTCTCCCAAAACAAACGTCTTTTCCTTTCGAATTCTCTGGATAAATCGAATTTTGGATTTGTTCCAGTCTTTTTCCCTCCCCAGTATCAATCCTGAGGGCCGTTTTATTATTGTTTGCTGACCCGAAATCCCGTGGTTTCCGTGAAATTTAAAGCTTCGGGAATCGTTAAACACACACACCTTTTGTGCCCCGGAGGACGGGCGAAAAAACAAAAATCGCAGAACAAAGGAAGAACGTCCTCGGACGGACGATTCCAAAAAAATTAAAAATAAATAAAAATAAAATTTCAGTTGAAAGTATTATACAAAATATAAAGGAAAAAAAAGCACAAACACTAAATATTTTCAGGGGTTGGAACAATTCCGGAGAAACCTAGTTGCTTAGTGCGCTAAAATCCTCGAATAATGACTTGACCTTGCTGTTTCATTAATAATAAAAACTTTATTATATTATTAATCACAAGAAAAAAAAATGTTCTTTCAACAAAAAATGTTCAATTTTAGAACAATAAATACCTCTAACTGTCATTCGAAAGAACTAAAGTTCACTCAACATCAAACAACAAGCAAGACTGGACCAAAATTCATTTAAAAAATAAAATTAAAAGACATATCTCATTTTAATAAACTGATTTTCAAAAAAATTAAGTCAAACCTGGCTTTGATGGGCTAAATTCAAGGCTTGGCAAAGGTGAAAACAAGCGAGCCTAAGCGGACACATAGCTCATCTGAAAAACAACAAGAAATCTTTTATTTACGATTACCGACACGTTCAACACGTTCTTTGATTATTCCCTCAACTTTATCAAGATAAAATGCAACGGGTATATCAAACATGAATTAATTATAAATAAAATTCAATGGTTTTACTTTTAAACCGACACCAGGGTTAACTGTTATCAGGGTAATAAATTAAAACTAATTTTTTCCCTTGTCGTTGGTTAATGATCCATAGGTTAGTATCCGTAGTTATTAGATCTCAGCTTAGACGCTTAACATTTATTTTATATACAAATGTTTTTTCTGTTAGGGTTGAACGACAATAGGAAGTCTGGCTTTTGTTGTAAATCTCCCCTATTTATTTTCCCCCTTTTGTACGATTTCCGACTTTGGCGTAAATACCTGAATTTTTTTATGGATTTATTGTTTGGAAGGGCTAACAGTTTACTCTCCAAGGATGATTTACCAAGCGGTGTATATTTGTTAAAATTTGCAATTGATTAAATAACATTTTAACAATACGAAAAGAACATTTCTTCTTTTATTAAATTCACTATTTTTCGTGGTCCGCTTGACCAATTAATATCATTCAATTAATTAAGAGAATTGAAAAATGGCAAAAAGGAGGGAAAATTCAAAAGGTAGGGTTGAGACGAGACGTTAGCGCCCGAGTGGATCGACGTCACGATAGCTTAAGGGGTAGAGTAGCGGCGTATCAAGCCGAAGATCGTGGGTTCGAATCCGGCTCGTGACACTGACTTTTTTATCTCAACTAAACACCTTAATTTTCTTCTTTTATTTTAAACCAATTTAGATTTTTAAAAATATCTAAATGAAGATCAGAGAGCCTTCGATGAGATTTAAAAAAGTCTAATTTTTTTATTATTTTTTTTTTCATCCGACACTTATTCGTACATATTACAAATGTGATTTCAAAACTTTTTTTTTCCAAACGGTCACCACCTACGCCAGCCATCGTTGATTAAGGCGATGTGGCGGTTCCAGGGTTGGAAATGGAGAGGGCTCGAGCAGTAGGGTTAGGATCAAGAGGGTAGAGCCAAACTTCCGCTGATAACCATAAAAAAGAATTAAAAACTATTAAAACCTTAGCAAAGGTTAGGTAAAAACAACGGGTATCAAGAAATATTTATTGATAGGATGCTAGTTAAAAGAATAAAAAAATTAACTTTAAATTAATCAACAAATAGGACTCAGCCACCCCACCACAAATGAATCATTAGGTTTCCGTTGTTTGCCATACATTGGTGAATTATCGGAAAAAGTTAGTAAAATTTTTAAACAAGAAGGTTTTAGAATAGCTTTTGGAAGTACGGGTTCACTTAAAAACATCCTCTCAAAACCTAAAGACAAAGTAGACAACTTGACAAAAAGCGGGGTTTACCAACTCAATTGTGATATTGAATATATAGGACAAAGCGGTAGAGAAATAAAAACAAGAGTAAAAGAACACTTGCCTAAATCGAGCAAATTTTCGGAATTTAAGGACCATCTAAAAGAAACAAAACATAATTTCAATTCAAATCTAAATACAAGAGTGTTACATAGTTTCAACAAAGGGAAAGAATTAGATTGGTTTGAGAAATTTGAAATTAAAAAATGTAAAATTGAACATGGTGATAAATGCATTAATAATATAACAGATTTTGATCTACCTCCCATTTTAAATATGTACATAAATAATATCAAACATCCAAATAATTAAACTAATTATTTTAATTGTTATTATTTTTATAGTAATTTAATAATATTAAGTATTTACTAGTATAATATTTATTTGTGTTATAATTTCCGCGTTTCGCACGTTCAAATTGAGCGCCATTAAAAAAATCAGCTGCTAATTGGAACGTCGCGTTGGCGGAGGTATCAGCGGGTTCACTTTGGCAATTCATGTCGAGAGACGTGGTTGTAGAAGTCCTTCAACCTGATGATGAGCTAAAAGGCTCGAAATCCGGATCGTTGCAAAACAACTTACTGTGAGTAGGAACTATTTTTTTTAAAAAGGATCAACTGAAACTTTTGGAATCGGGTACCAATCAGTTCGTTGATAAAAGAAATGTTGAAGTTGTTGTGGACAGTGTGTGGAGGAAGTAATGATTTGGTTGAGGACATTTGATTGGAATGATTATTGCCCTGGATGTTCGATGTCTTGGCAGAACCCCACAGTTCCACTCCATATGTCCAAAGTGATCGGAATAAATAATGATTATTTAGAGATCGTGAGACGAAGTCTGGTGCGATGTAAGTTAGAAAAATATTTTCTTTATCATGCCACCTTTTCGATCTTCATTGAGATCATCTTCAGGGCATGGGATTTATAAAACATTTTTTAAATTATACAAATACATTTAAGATATGACTATTAATTTATACATTGATGTACACAATATAGAAATTATTGTGAATTAGTTTAATTGAGGAGGGAAAATTCGAGAGGTGGGGTTGAGATGGGAAGTTGGTGTCCGAGCGGATCCAAGTCACGATAGCTCAAGTGGTAGAGTAGTGGTTCGAATCCTGTTCGTGACGTTGACTTTTTTATCTCAACCAATACCTTTCATAAATATGAATTAATTGCAAAAATGTTAATTGGTCAATCGGACCATGAACTGTAATGGATTTAACATCTAACATTGGCCCTGGCCTGTTAGATCGAGCAATGTTAATTAGCCGATTCTACCAAGTCTTCGTCATTTTTTTTCTCGATCGAACAGGACCTAACAGAGTTAACAGGGTTAACACAAAGATCGTGAATACCCCTATAGTCTTGTTCGGGTGTGAAAAAAGTGATGAAGAAGATATTTACGATTAATCCGTGGAAAATTGGTCAGTAAGATCGTAGCCCCATAATTGTATTTGCCTGAGGAAGATTTCATTATTCTTCTTATTATTATATATTAATTCGTGTTTAAACAACAAAGCACGATTTTTATCAATGTCCGTTCTATAGAGAATCTCAATCGTCCCTGGTTTTTTCTGCTTTTCCTCCTCCAATATTACTCTTCTTGAACCTCATCCCGCTCAAAATATTTACAAGTTTCCCGTCCGTTGAACCGCTATTAATTTGCAAGACGAATCGGTACACACGACTGAAATACCCACCGGGTAAAACGGGTCGGACGCCTTTCGACAGGTCGGTCACTCTTGCCAGATTTACGACATTCTAATTTCAATGAAATTATAAGAAAAATTACACTTTACAACTTGAGGAGGCCATCCCTGGTACATTCCAAGGGAGAAGGAACTAGCATTCTAGTCAGGAAACTTTTTTTTTAAGTTGCAACTAAGTAAAATATCTCCTCCTTGGACTTAATTATACAAGAATCTGTATTTAAAGAAATCAACCTTAACAGAAAAAATTAGGAGAAAAATAATCGTCTGCGGTTAATAACGTTATCTTCCCAATGTCGCAGGCAAACGGTCGCTATTTGCAATTGTTATCAGCCGGCGAGTACTCAAAAACCGGGAAATAATGGCATTTCATCATTATTTTGGGTCTATTGCCATTTAAAGCTGTTGGCCGGCCTTAAAAAAATTAAATCTGGTCATAATTAATTAATATCAACCGAATTTCCGATGAAATTTTCTCTTTTGAACGACAGCGAGAAAGGACGGACCAGATTTAAATATTTGGCCCCTTTTTGTTTTCAAACCCCACCAGGCCTGATAGCTTAATCTTAAGACTTTTATCGCAAACAAAATAATATTTAAGTTACAAAGATATCTTATTCAATGAGAACTAACGGACTTCATAGTGTAAAATAATCAAACCAAAATGCCCGAAATGAGTCCGCTAAGTATCGCTGCCACACGTTTTAGACCAAGGGCATCCGTTAAAAAACAAATCAATAAAAAAATAAATTACAATTTCGTCTGTTTCATTTTATTTTAATTTAAACCAATCGCTCTCCGGGTCCGTCAAATTTCGCTGCAGACTCATTCAGACTTTCAACTCATTCGCCAGTTAAGGACCAAGCAAGGAATCTGTTTGCAACTTTTTTCCCATTTATTAATTCATCTGTCAAATTTTAACGTATTAATCATCTGAAGATCCAAGGTCTGAGTTTATTTTGAACCCGTTGTTTGATTTTATTGATTGAGCCGATCCCAACATTGAATGATGACCGTACTGACCTCTGCCTACTTGCCGGTGAAGGTAATGACCACAAATTGTGGATGCAATGATGGTAGGGACAACCAGTAGTTGCAAACAAAAATATTGCTTATTTTAACGATAATATAAAGAATGGATCAGTTTCTGTGATCTTTGAATCAAACTAGAACACCACTCGCCTGTTAATTTCTAAGGTTGACTCTTGATTTCTATGGATATCGGCTAAAGACCAAGGCTGAGACTTTTTTTAATATTATTTGCTGATTATAGTAAATGTCAACTGTTGTAACTATGTCCTACCTCACTGTTGGCGTGAATTGATCAACAACACCATTGATGCCAAGAGATCTCAGCTAAAGCTTCAAAATTAGCTTTTAGTTTATGGTGCTTCTGTTTTTTGAGGTTATAGGCTTCATTTTTGGAACGGTCATGTTTATATTTGCATATTGATTTTAGTACTGGCATATATACGGGCGCGGTGACAAAATTTGGAACCCAGGATCCGTTGCCGGGCCGTTCCTGCTCAATATGGATATAGGCCGTTTTCTCATGAGGCTCCCTTTTCAAAAGGCCCACAGCCACAAAAGACGCGAGGAATTATGTAAATGGGCGGGCAGTGCATAAATCAGAGGATGCGGCGATACCCGGTCGCCATTGTGCGGTCCGCACACTCCACACCCCGCTGGTAATTAGGTGTGCCCGGCATCACAATAACGGCTAACCCAAACACTCGCCCTTTGTTCGCAACTCGTCTAAGCCATTTATGCTCTTTAAGAAGGGAAGGTGGGCCCTTCTACCCGGTGCACTTGCAGCGATACCTTCATGCTCAGGTCCGTTTGCATCCGCTACACTGCACACCGGGGGGCCTTTAATCCTCTT